ACATCGGTGCCATACCTTGGCCAGCAGGGTATACAATTAATGTATCCTCTTCCTCCTCAATGCTGCCACTCCTCTGAGCCAACTGCTCAAATGTGGACCAACATCAAGGAATATTTCAGGTGTTCTCAGGTGCTTGTCTCATCTGCAGAGCCTCCTTTCCTCTTCCAGTGACTTCACGATGACAGTGAAACCTGTGTTCTTACAATTTTCCTCTTCCACAGTATCTTCCAGAGGAAAAGTCTACTGCCTTTGCATTTATCTTCATTGCATGGCATCACCTAATGACTTTGTGTGAGGCTGATACCAGCATACTTTTCTACTACTTTTTGCACAAACTCCTGACTCCTAGCAATACATGTATAAAACTTAACACACATAAAAAGGAACTTAATTCAAATGTACTTTCACAGAATTAATTTTTTCCAATCTCCGTAAGATACTCCAGTGATTTTAGTTATGACCAATAAAAAGCTATATACAAAAATGATATACCTAACATAGAAACTAAATTAGTGCTATTCTTGAATTTCCATACAAATCACCTGGGGATTTTGTTAAAATACAGATTCTGATTTACTACCCTGGGATGGGGCCTGAGATTCTGTATGATTAACAAGCTTCAAGGTGACTATGTCCAGGCTGCAGGTCCTCAGACCACATTTTGAGTCGCAAATGACCGTAATCATCTTTAACGCCTCAGGTGCTACACAGAATTCCAATCTAATACTACTTCACACTGATTTTAAACACCACTATTATACCCATTCTGTGTTCTTCATGCCAAAGGGATCTGGAAAGGAAGTATTTTACAGTAAGTACTCTTACACTGACACACACACACACCATCCTTTAATCAATGCCCTGAGGAGACAACCTGTCCAATATATTTTCAGATACCTGCTTGTCCACCAATACAGCATAACCCCAATATACAGACTTATTTTCTTCCTGCTTCCTTCTCATTCTTCCCCCTTAAGTCTTACATTCTACTGCTCCTTCATAAATCTAGATTAGGTCAGGCTGAGATGTCTTGTACTCTCCCACAGCCCCACTTTCCAGCCTTTGGTGTGGACTTACATGTACATCATATTCCCTTACTAGCAGACCAGCTCCTTCAAGGCACTGTGGTGGAATGGTTCTGAGCACCTACTCTCGAGCTGAATTCAAAGTTCAGTTCTGCCACTTACGTTACTTGGGCAAGTAAGCCATCATTTCTAAGCCCGTTTTGTCTGGTAAAATAGAAATCATACCTACATATAAGATTGTGAAAATTATAGGAAATACTATTTAGAAATCACTTAGCAAAGTGGCACCAAATTAACACCTACTAAATGGAAGGTACTAGGACAATGACATACAGCATTTAGTGTGATTTCTTTTACATGAGCAGCTCTCAAACATCACCAAATAAGCCAAAGTTGTTCTGCATTTTAAAGTATTATTTCTTAATAAGAAAAAAAGATGTCTCTGGCCTGCTAGAATTTGCAAGTTTCTCTAAAGTTTCCATAGTTGAGAAAACTGGAAGTCTTATCTGGAAGGCCTGGTAATTCCTCTTCGCTCTTCTTATTTGGGAGACCTACCCAAATACAGTTAGCAACTAAAATAGAAAAGCTGAAAGAATTTGTACTGTTCTAAAATCATATTATGATTTATGTATTCTAAATTTATTATATTCTTCAGTGATAACTTCATGGAAATTTAGTCTGAATTGATACTGATAACCATAAACATTTTAAATGTTTAAAATCCTTCAAGGATTCCAAAGAATTTTACTAAATTCCTTCTTTAAAACCTTTATAAAGCTTAACAATTAATGCAGAAAATAAGGCAATTAATACTTGAATACAGTATGGTTAAGAAACTTGCGGAGCTGGTAGCCACACACACACACACACACACACACACACACACACACACACAGCAATACAGATTCAAGAAGTGTATCAAATCCCGTGCAAAACATAAAAATAAAACACTCACATTCAGACACATCACAGCGAAACACACCAGAAACAAACAAAAATAAAAAAAATACAACAGCCATTACTGTGTGTTCTAGATGCAGGGTAGGGTGAAGAAATAAGCTTTTAAGTCTGAATAACAAGCAGTTCCACTAGAGTATTGGAGTAAGTTATCCTTCCCTGATTTTTAAAAAATGATGAAACTAGAAGAAAGTTTGACAGTTATCTAGATTTTTCAATGTCTCGATTAGATTAGGTTATTCAGTCTCAAAGTTAAATGGCGTCATTAGCAATAGAAAAGTCCCAGTTTGTGCCATCGTTAAACCAAAACAATGAGATATAATGAATAAAAATGTAAATTTAGTTAATCCAATTAATGCCTTAAATTTTTTTTTTTTTTTTGAGATGGAGTCTCGCTCTGTCACCCAGGCTGTTAAACTTTTAAGACAATTCATAAATGAGAAAATGCAAGTAGAAAATCATGAAAAAAAATCAAACTCACCAATAATCAAAAAAAGAAAAAATAAGGAATCTTCTGAAATTAGCAATCATTAAAAAGAACTGGAGTAAAAATGGCCCATATGACTTTTTTGGCATTAAATAAAACAATCTCTTTAAATAGTAACTGAGAGAATGTTAATCCTTATAAGCTAATAGTATAATTTACAAGTATTTATTCCAAGACATAATCCAAATGAAAGGTTATAGTGAGGTATTTAATTAACATTATGAAAAATGACAAATGACCACAAAAACTACACTGCAGTACAGAAAAGCAGATGCATCAATATTCTTAAGATGTATATTGTTCACTTGGCAATTCCATTTCTAAGAACATATGATTCCAAGTCATGTGTGCAACACAGGTAAAATTCCTCATGTTGAAAATTGGAAATAATATCAGTATTTGTCATAGAGATTATGTGAACTCCACATAATGAAACTTCACTGGAAGAGAATCTGGGTCTATACTGACACTGAAAGAAAACCATGATATATTGAGGAAAAGATTACAAGACACTAAGTATAATATGCCATTCTGTAAGAAGTCTTTATATTTACCCATAAAACAAAATCCAGATATACTTCTGATGTACCTGCACAGTATTACAGTTAAACTTTCATTTTCAAATTCTTTGCAGTAAGTATGTATTTTCACCATCAGAAAAAATAATACATGTATTTTGTTTGGAAGAAAACTGGTATGTAGGAAAAGTTCATTATTAACCCATCCATGCCAGAAGCTGCAAATATTTGTGAGTGAAAAATCAGACTCTGGCAATAATCTTGAGCAGCAGGATATAAATAACTCCCACAAGCTTAGTGTTCCAATAATGGGACACTAGGCATAAATGGGTTAAAAATTAACTGGCTGTGGTCACAACAAAATTATTTCACATGGGCAAGAAGGAAATATAGAAGGGAAAAAACCCAAAGTTGAATCACTGGGGGCGGAAAGGCTGTGAGTAATCCTTACAGTTTCCAATAGTGCTTGTGAAACAGGTTTTTTTTTTTTTTAAATACCCATACTCTTATTAAAATTGCTAGAATGAGGAGCTTCAAAGTAGGAATACAATACTGATGGAAAGATGAATTTTAAAATCAGACAGAATTCTACTCCTGCCACTTACTAATTAGCTGTGCAACCTGGTCAAGTGAACACTTGTCTTTTCTTCTGACCAATACTGCCTTAAAGGGTTGGTTTTTGTGTCCATTAAAGGGATCAATTACATGAGGTAAATGGCACAAGTTGATTTAAAAATTAGGTCAAAGTTGCTGACACTTGGCAATTTTTATCTACAAAAACATGTTTTATATATTCAATCTAAAAGCTTTTTTAAAATTAATTTTTTTCTTTTTGAGATGGAATCTAATCTCCCTCGTCATCCAGGCTGTAGTGCAGTGGCGCAATCTCAGCTCACTGTAACCTCCGCCTCCCTGGTTCAAGCGATTCTCTTGCCTCAGCCTCCCAAGTAGCTGGGACAACAGGCACCCGCCACCACCCATGGCTAATTTTTGTATTTTTAGTAGAGATGGGATTTTACCATGTTGGTCAGACTGGTCTCGAACTCCTGACCTCAGGTGATCCACCCATCTCGGCCTCCCAAAGTGCTGGGATTACAGGTGTGAGTCACTGAACCCAGCCTAACAGCTATTATTCTGAAATGTTTAATTCCAATTCCTAAAACATTACTGTGTAATTTAAACACACACTCCAAATGGCTGTGGAGAATCTTATTTTGGAGATCTCATTTTAAAATTGGAAAAGTGGAATTATCTGAATTTCCCACCCCAAAATCAGTTAATGGCAGAAAAGAACACAGGCAATTTGACTCTGGCACAGTACTTTTCACAGAGTCCCGAATCTTGAGGTCAGCAAAAGTCATTAGCATACCGTAACTCAAGAAAAAAATATGAAGAAAAATAAATTGAATAGTTTCTCATTAAAGAGGCTAAAACAAACATTCGTTCTTTCCTTCTTGTCCCCACCCCCGGGGTGGTGGAAATGCTTGTTGATTCTAAGGAAACAAAATTTTCTTCTGTGTTCTGGTGCTGATTAGTGAAATAATTTAAACAAACAACCAGATGTACAGAATAATCAAGATGGACCCATAACAAATAATAGTGAGTGACCACTACAAGGAAATAAGATTAGTGGTGTGAAAAACACAGTTCAGTATTTAGCTTCTAAATTTCAACAGTAGTAAGGTAAATAAAATCCCATTACAACGCTTTCTTAAAACCAACATACATCAAGGTATGTGCAAGAAACAAATCAGTCTTTGAAGGAAAATATATATATATATATATATTGCAAATTAAGTAACAGGTACTATTTTTTTTAAATAAGACTTTTTAATTAAAAAAAAACAAAAAATGGCAAAAGTTTAATTAATGGAATAAAACAGGTTAAGCTGGAAGTAAATGCATGAGCTGTTTTACAGGAATGCATAATGTGAGTGATGAAAGAAACAAATATTCTTCCAATTTTCCAGATTATTTAACACCCATTTAAATGAAAGAGGCTATTCCCAAATGGTACACAAATTCATAAGTCTTTATTTTGAAAAAAATTCTTCCAACAGTATTTCACAATGAACAAGAACTTAACCAAATTTATCTATCATACTAAAGCATTTCAGAAATGAATACTGAAATCAGCCTGTAAGTTTTCATCCAATATTTAAAACCACCTCCTGAACTAAAATTGGTCTTCAAAATTTATGGTGTATTAACATTTTCCAAACATGCCCTGCTGACTAGAAAGTCCTGTTATTCTTTCTTTTGAACTTCTCAGTAAGTTTCCTTGTTCCCTATTTCTAGGATTTAAAGTGCAAAGGTACTTTCTATCAGCTATTAGGACAAGTATTCCTTATGGAAAATAAACTTTTGCAGGAAACAAATCCTGTGCTTGACTAACAGCAAATACAAGCTAAGAAATTTCTGAGCTCTAAACCATGAGGAATCAGAATCAGAACTTTCGGAGTAATAACTCACATTTTTTTCTAAAGCATAGGAAGCTAATTTTGAAGAAATAATGAACAAACATGTGGTTGTGCCAAAATAGAGTCTGCCATAGTTAACTGCTATTTTCTCTTCTTAAAAATAAGGTATAGTCTAAGCTAATGTAGATAAGAAAAGGCACGATACCAACAAATTGTAAAACAAAATAGAGCCCCAAGCCATGCACTTTTATAGTCATGAGTAGGGACAATGAAAAAATTAAGGTGCAAAATAGATGTGAGCTTGCACAATCTTTCAATGAACTGACTGCCTTAATAGTTTTAATTTAAAAGCATAGGATTTTTCATGTATCTTCAGTCAATTAGATTTTTTGTTCCTTCTTTAAACTGAATAATTTCTTAAATAGGGAAGCACAAGATCATTCCTACACATCTGGTGAGTCTCAAAATAGAATGATGTCTATTTTATTAAAAGTTTCCAGTCAGGCAGAATCAAGAGTAATCTTCATATATGCATAAGGATATTATCATTGTAACAATATTTTTAGTAGAAAAGTCTATAAACAACTGTTCTCCCAAGGGACATCCATATAATGGAATCCTGGAGGCATTAAAATAATGAGTTAGAGCTGGATGTGGAAATATGGAAAGACAACCAAGTTAAACAAGAACAAAGTCACAAAACTGAACATTTAAAATAAGGAAGAACAGGAAGAGGCATATATAGAGAGGCATATATAAAATAAATGATAACATTTCTGAAAGACTATACAAGAATACAAGAAATTATATACCTCTTGGGTGTGAGAATAAAGTCACAGAGGGAGACATACTTTTTGACTTTATGTCCTTTGTGCATACTGCATAATTTTTAGAAAACATAAGCATATATTATAACATACAAAAAAACCTTTAAAGTCTTTAAAAAACCTGATTGCAACCAAAGCATTCTATGAAATACTGACTATATAAGATTAGTTTACAATCCCTTGCTGCCTTTAGTTAATGATCATATAGTCAAAATTAGAAGGCTCCTTGGCGTTTGCTTCCTCTGTCTCTCCACTCAAGATTGAGGGAGATGCTGAGAATTTAGACTTCAAATTTCACTCTCATTGCTTAAACTGTAACATGCATAACATATCAAGATTTCAGAGAACCGATTAAAAAAATTAAACTATGGGCATTTTAATAAAATTTAAAATATTTTATCCAGCATCACTGTATCTTTTTATAAAAGCTCAAATCACAACATTCTCCTTTTATCAGCCCCTAAGCCCTATGTTGGACAAGCACAGATTTCAAAAATACACTGAAATATACGTTGAATTTTTATCCACTAGAATAAAATAATCAGAGTGGTATGGATTCTTGGCAACAGTCTTCACTGGGAAATACCACTGTGAGCCCAAACTTACACAACTGACTTCAAAATCAGACTAAGATGTGGCATAAGAAGAGCCATTTCCTACCTTCACTATCTATTCAGGATTTGCCAACTCAAAGGCTTTGAAAAGCATGTGAATGTTTGAGACTAAGGAAAACTGAGAGTGGTAAGCTAGTGGCCACCTTAAGAGTACATGCCCTATTTTAAAGAGTTGAAATCAGAATGCAACATTTTAAAAACACTGTACTGGTCAAACAAAACCGAACTGTACACAGAATTCGGAGTGTAAGCCTTGAATGTACAATCCCTATAAGAGCACAACAATTGGACTTTTTAAAACCATGGTTCACCAACACTTGGCTCTTTGCAGATTAAATACCTCAGTGCCCAGTATATCTCTAAAAATGAACAAGTGTCCAAATACTTGCTGAATGAATTAACAACATAAAAGCTCTTCAAATACTGGATATAATCATCAAATGAACAATAAATGTGATTAATGAGTTGTGGAATTATATGTCCTTACTGTGCTGGAGCTGGTTTGTAAAGGCTTGGGAGCGCCACTAGTCTGCTATCTCTTTAAACTGCATTTAACAACATCAGATTGGCAGGTAAAATCACCATGGAGATAGTATTTATACCACAAATATTAGTAAACACTACAAAACAGGGCTTTTTTTCTTTTGTGAATGATGGTTGTTAGACATTCAGCAGCACACTAGATGACACCGTGGTTATATATTTGTTTGTTCACAAACAACCACATGAAAAGTTTAATGTCACTAAATTTTAAAATATAAAAACAAAATTTTAACTAATGAAGATGAATTCAATACAATAGGTTAATTTAATACAAATTTTAATTATACTACGTTTTAAAAAGTGAATTTTAAAACTGTATAGGGCACAAACTGTAACAATAAAGGTAGAATGCTTTACAAAACAGGAGTCTGTGATACTTCAGATGAGTCTTCAATTTAAAACACGCTCCACTAGTTACCATTACTTCTAAAGTTAAAAAAAAAACCCAAGAATAAACTGTACTGACTTTATCAAATTATGAAAAAGAATTCAAGTGATTAAAGTTTTTTTTAGGTACACAAGAACTTGCTTAGAATTTCCAAATATTAAGAAAGTATGTATTCGTAAAGAAATGTGATAGCATTTTAATCCAAATCTGTTCCCCAGAGCAAAAGCTACCACTAGCTTCACCTCTCTATGCTTTGCTTCTTTCATCCTAAAAGTATGGGCCCACTGCAGGGACTGTAAGAGATGAAATATGAAAATCATTTGGCAAGTGACTGTCTGATATACACCCCATACGTAATACCACTGCTATTATTACCTTGAAGTAGTTAGTGTTAAAACATCTGCAATTTCAGTTTTTCTCACTAGCAAACACAAAAAAACCTCAGGGGGTAGTATGTTAGAACAAGTGAATACTGTTCTAACAAATTTAAAGTATAGTGGTTCTCAAAGGGTCTGGAGACCCTTAAGGTCTACAACCCTTTCTTTGAAGGGCTGTGAAAGGTCAAACTATTTTCATTGTCCTACTAAGACATTATATATCTTTTTCATTCTGATTTCACAAGTGCATAGTGGAGTTTTCCAGTGTGTATGCTGTGTAATTTTTTTTTTTTAAGTTGGAATGCTCTCACTGCTTTTATTAAGCCAGTTTTTTTTTTTAATGCATAAAATGTAAAACGTGTTCCTGTTCTCATTAGATTTTGCTTTGGAAAAGTTATTTTTATCAAAAATGTTATTTATGCCAGCAAGTAGTTTATTATTGTTATATTTAAATAAACATGTTTTAAAAAATCTCAGTATTAAATTCAATACAATAAATTCTGAGAGAGATAACGACATCAACAAAAGCTCTTTGGGGATCTTCAATAAGAGTTATGGTCCTGAGACTAAAATGCTCCAGAGATGTTCGTACAGTGGTAAAGCAGCAGCCAGGTCACCCTCTCCATGTTGCCAATTGGTGGGAACTGTACTAAAGAGTGAGAGTGAGAGTGAGAGTGAGAGTGAGAGTGAGAGAGAGAGAGAGAGAGAGAGAGTGTGTGTATAAGGGGCAGGGAATCTCACAGGTAAAGAAATGACATGCTTTTACAAATTAATAGAAGGAATTATTTTTCCACAAAAATTGTAAAATATTCTTTTTCTCAAAAAAATGAGGAAAAAATGTCTTTAAACTATGTCAAAAGTTTGCCATCCCAAAAAAAGTTCTTCCTTCCTGAACAGGGATACCTGCAGATAGATACCTGAACAGGAAAAATGATCTGACTAAACCAGTAAGTCAGGCAATTTGGAGGTTTTCAGCCTTGCTGCCCTTCCAGGATTTTTTTCTCCTTTTTAGTACTCAACGTAATTTTGATGGTCTATATAAAACTAGAACAAATCTGAATATAAAAGTCTAACAAAAGCTAATTTTCTTTAATAATAAACTGAATATAAGAAAAACTATTTTAATACTTTTAGTACCTTAAAGCTACCTCTCTCTCTCTCTTTTTTTTTTTTTAATTCTTTTGAGATAGGATCTCACTTGATCACCCAGGCTAGTGTGCAGTGGAGTGATCACAGCTCACTGCAGCCTCCAAATCTTGGGCTCGAGTGATGTTCCCACCTCACCTCCAGGGTAGCTAGGACTACAGGCTCTGCACCACCATACCCAGCTTGGGTCTCTTCTTAAACTAAACATTTCTATTTTATAAGCACTAATTTAAAGTGAGTAGGAGCTCCCATTTAATTACAAACTTTAATAGTCACCCAGAAAAAGAAACAGTCTTTAAAATTATGTTGATAACAACTGTTTAATTTACTACTCAGAAGGAAAGCCTGGTAGGTTATTTGGGTAATGGCTATAATTAGGTAGTATAACTTCGTACACATGAATCAACTGGGACCCGATACAATCTAAAACAGAAATTCAAATATTGTTTCCCTCAATAAAAAGGGCTGAGGAAGTCCCCCAAAATGTAGAGACATTTCAAGTCTACTTCGACACACACCTGGACCTGTGAAGCATTCATTTAATTCTAAAAGAAGAGGCATACTGCTCAGAAAAGGGGCAGAGATTTGCCAGACATCTTGCTTATTAAAATGGTTCAGATAAACCACACTTTCAGCTAGATGTACACTGGACAGCAATGTTTTAACAAGTCTAAAACACCATACAGATTTTAAAATACTATGATAACAACTCAGTCATCATTGCAAAAGGCATTCAACATGAATAAAATGTTTGAGGAAATTGACGTTTACCTCTTTGAATACCAAAGCTTTTTAAAAAGTTTTAATCAATTCAAGATAAAACTTTTAAAACATGTACCACATATCTGTGTATGCAATTTCACCTTCATTACCTTGATTACCTAGAGGTACAGTAAAGACCAATCATCAGATGATGTAGTATAGTGATGTCCTCTAGGCTGGCTAGTGGTTCTTACACTAATGGCCTTGGACAGTGTATGCTCCTCAGAGTTTTTTTTCCCAGTTGCCTTCCTTGCAAGCCATTCCTTCTAAACTGCTAATATGCTACAGTCTGGACAAGCAAATAATCAAGTTTATTAAAATCTCTCATAAAAACAAATGCATAAGCTCTAACACACAGACTCTGTGATTTATATGGGTTGCTCAGAGGCATTCTTAAAAAAACTATTCCAAGTTTCTGAGTTGCATACTAAACTTAGCATCTTTGCCTTTTTAAACAAAGTATCCCATAACTTCAAGGTAACACTGAGTTCCAGTTTCTTTCCCCTAAAAAACAAACATAAACAAATATCCTAGATATAATATCGTTTGCCCAAAAAAGAAGAGAACTGAGGTGCAATAATGTCACAGTTAATGCATGTCTACTTCCAATACATTCAAAGACAATATTGTTTTTTAAAAAATCAATAGTTAAAATAGGCCTTTTGCAGTCTGAGAATTAAAGATACTTAGAAAAATTTGTAAATACACATACATGCAAATTCTTCATATATACAAATTTCACAAAATTAATAAGCTGCAAAGAAATTAGAAGGATTATGGATAATCTGACAAGCTACATTTAAATGCTTTACCACTGACATATTCCTGAATGTAGCAGTCATAGTTTTAATAAATTTTCTACATGGCCTTTTTATAAAAAGTCACTAAGAAGTCTTTTAAGAATTCAAGATGTTCTCAATTCACTACTCATATTTAAGGCCACTTTGGTAAAGGCATTGCAGCAAGAACACAAAAACAATAGCATATTTTATAATATTTATTTTTTTCACCTGCAAACTGTAGCAAAACATGATCAGCTTTATTATGCAGACAGGTATCCCTCTACATTTTAAAAGAATTTAGGCATGTATAAATAGAAGAGCTCTTTAGAAAGGAAAAATTCAAGAATGAATAAAACCTTCCAATTTTGACTCTGTAACTTTCCAGTAGCAATGGTTAAAATGATTTTAGGTCATTCATTCCAAGATATATGACAGCACCTTAAAAAGTGGCTGATCTATTTCCCCAGTAACATTTCTCACATAACAATGTGTTAAAGTTACAAATACTGATATGCACAAATAGCTAATTTCTAAGAAAAATATGTACAGTACTGCAGCATAATGAATGTGGTATCTGCAATAACTTAATATTAGCCAATTTTAATATACATGATACCGCTACCCTTTTCTGCCAATTCACAGGTTAAAAGGTGTTACTGGAGCCCTCGGTTTTGCACATATCACCTGGTGTTTAATACACAATGCAGGCTTTTTAAAGACTTCTCTTGTGTTTAAAGCTAAGATCAGTGAAACAAGACAACAGTGCAAGAGGTGGAGAGATGTAATGTAACCACATAAAAGTTCGTTCCAGTAAATTGTCTATATAAGGCTATAAGAAAGGATTGGTTGATGAGCTTCCTGTTGGAAATTGTCCTGTTGGTGCACCAGTCTAAAGGAAAACATAAGACAAACAAAGAGATAAAAGTGGTACAGGTACAGAATATAAAAACATTACACAGAATTTAATTTTATTTAATTAGACATTTTGGTTAAGAATTTTTTTAAATTATTGGCAATAACGTTTATTTGTTATTGGCAATATGACAATTGGCAATATGCTATACAAAACTATTATGTGTCAGGAACTGTGCTATGTCTTTCATAACCATTATTTCACAGAGTTCTTGTAACAGATTCTAGGAAGAATATTAGAATGGTCTTAAAAAGCACTTAGAAAAGATTCAAACAAAACTTCTGACTCTTCCGTCTCTACTAAAAATACAAAAAATTAGCTGGGCATGGTGGCGCGTGCCTGTAATCCCAGCTACTCAGGAGGCTGAGGCAGGAGAATTGCCTGAACCCAGGAGGCGGAGACTGCGGTGAGCCGAGATCGCGCCATTGCACTCCAGCCTGGGTAACAAGAGCGAAACTCCGTCCCAAAGAAGAAAAAAAAAAACCTCTTTTTTATGTTCACCAATTCTTAGGGCCTCTGATAAAGTGTTATTTTGACAAGAAAGCAAATAAGTTTCATATTATAAAACAGCTGAACTACTGTCAATGCTTTAATTTGCAAGTAGTTTTTTTAAAAGGTCAGAAAAGGATCACACATAATGGCTCTAAGTCAATTTGTACAATTTTATCATGTCACAGCAACAGGATACCAAATACCATCTAGGAATATTAACATCCTGAAATTCCTAATTTAAAAATATGATTTAACAACTTATACAGTACTTTATTTTAAATTTTGCTTACCATAAAAGGATTACTAGATACTCCAGCAGCTGCAACTTGACCAAAAGGGGTTACCACTGGCTTTGTTTGTCCAAATGCTGCAAAACCTGCACCTTGTTAAAACAGAACCACCAATTATAACCTATATCTTTAAGAGACAATCTGATGCTTATAAAGCATCGTAATAACTTTCAGAGAAATTCCTATCAGAGCAATAAAAATAAAGTATCAAAGTTAAGTTGTTAGTCCTCAAGCCCTTTCAGATACCAAAGAAAAACTGACGGTAGTATGTCTTAAAATAACTCTTTTTTGGAGGCAGGATCTCACTCTATTGCCCAGACTGGAGTCCAGTGGCATGATCATGGCTCACTGCAGCCTCAACCTTCAGGGCTCAGGTGATCCTTCCACCTCAGTCTCCCGAGTAGCTGGAACTACAGCCACATGCCACCACGCCCAGCTAATTTTTGTATTTTTTGTAGAGACAGGATTTCATTATGTTGCCCAGACTGGTCTCGATCTCTTGGGTTCAAGTGATCCGCTTGCCTTGGCCTCCCAAAGTGCTGGGATTTCTGGCGTGAGCTACCACACCTGGCCAAGAGAACTTTCATTCAGCTCTTTCATTCCAACTTGTCTCAGTAAGTAAAAAATATAGGATTTCATTACTAGATGAGCTTGTGACTACTTGGGACAGGCCGTGCGTGCAGACAACGCAATGATTTCTATGTAAACATCACAATATTTTGTAGAAAATACTTTTATTATTTATGGCTCTTCCATGGTCTATATTTCAGATTTTTAAATAACTATTTACCTTAAAAAAAAATGTAGTTGTGATTCAAGAATCTTCAAATCTATATACTTCAAACTTGAGAAAATGAAAGAAATAGGTAAAAAAGGTCAAGTGAATCTTCCCATCTCTTCCTAAAATCAAATAACAAACTCTAACTACAGTAGAGTTATCAACTTAGAAAAGTAGTCTCTTTCACACACACAAAGGTACACATTTTTGTGATGAAAGGAAAAAAAAAAAATTTTAGGTCTGTGAAGTCTCCTTTAAAAATCAAGAGGCATATTAGAACATGTAAGACAAATTAATCAGAAAAAGGCTCTAGAAACTCTGAGAATGAAGAGATACTCTTCACATAGTCACTGATTTCCCATAAATTGTAACCTGCTCACAAAAGGTTACAAAATCACTTAGCTTTCTGAGGTCCAAATTACCAAAAGCTTTTATTTTTGTATAGTTAAATACTCAGTAGATAATACTATAGCATTCATTAGAAAAGTCTTTCTGCCCAAGCACACATTATGATATAAAAAGAATATATAAAATGAACTTACAGCTTGCCAAATGTTAGATCTTACCATTGGGCTGTTGAGAAAAAGCTGTCTGTTGAGGGAAAGCTGCTTGGGCTGGGAAGGCAGGCTGCTGGAAGCTGCCACTAAAGCTGGTAGGAAGACTGTAGGGAGCAGGAGTGCCAAATCCCGTGGGCATGCTCATGGATGCAGTGCCAAAGGTTGCCGCTGACAGGAGAAGAGAAGGGCTGATCAGTTACATACAACAGGACATGTTTAGTTTCTCACAACATTGTAAAAAAGACATCATTTACCTTGAAAAATACTAGGATGTACATTAAAGGCAACGTTAATTCCAAAATTCCAACAGAGTTACCAATGAGTTTTAGTGCTACACTGTTTTAACATCACCTGTAGAAATTTTGTTCTCCTAAAACCCAATGACCAGAATGAAACTACTAAAGCTGATATTTGAAATCCCAAGAAAATTTCTCAAATTATAAATTCAAGTCTAAACAGTAGTCTTTTTAAAGACTCATCATCATGCAATTCACACAATTCACATGTATACTAGTGAATGTATACTAGTATACATTTTTGGTTTTGGTTTTGTTTTGCTATATGTAGTAAAATAACAGCCAAAATTTAATCTACTGAAGTATCTGCCATAACGTAATATCTGCTCCTGGAAAAAAATTTAAAAACCACTGAAAAATAGTTCATTAAAAAGAATAGGACTTATAGGAAAAACAGGGTTAGTTAGAGGCAGACCACTCAGAACCTATGAAGCTTTGTAACTACAGCCAGAGAGAAACAGAGAGAAATTCGAAATTCTATTAACAACACTAACACAATTAAAGGACATGTACCTATTAAATCAATTATATGGATATATATACACATATGGACTCCCATCCTCTTCTGGAAGGTAAATAAAGACAGCTTTGGAAGACTTAAGGAAGGTTAGGGCAGCTGAGCTATCGAAATTAGTGGGAAATCCACAAAGATGCATTCTTAGAAAGAATGCAGAATAAATGGCCATAGTGTTCAATGCTACTATGCTCTTCCTTGCCTTGTCATGTCTAGCTGGTTATTACTTCGTGGACAAGGTATTATTACCACATTGGGGGAAATGTGTGTTATCAACTTCTACATATGTGGAATGCTGCCATAATTTCCCTATTTACTAATCATTTAGGAACTAAAGTACATTATAGAAACACATGCAATAACAGGGCAGTATGTTATTTATTACTGGTGAATATTAAAAACAGAACCGCCACCTATATGTTCTAGGAAGGGTCTCAGTGAAATAAGAGCCAATAACGTTGCTTTAAATATAGACTACTAGTAATTACATAATGAAATATTCTTAGCATGATACAAAGTAACATGCTAATTCACTGAATTTACTGATTTTAACCAATTTACCAATGAGATCACTGATTTAATGCACAGAAATTAAACATTAAAAATGTTACACAGAATGTCTTTTATTTTTAAAAAGCTGAAAAACAAGTTATAGATGTTGCCCAACGTAATCCCTGGAGTCACAATGTTTATAACAATGCAATTTTGCTTGGTGAACCTAATTAGAATATCAAGAAAATTACTTTTTTATTATTGATGAGAAAAAAAGCAAAAACAGGCCATTGGGAAGCAACTGAATTAAAGAATAATAAGCACACTGCAAGGGTAACGGGAAGGCTTCATAACAGACAACAATGCATTGACATAACTTTGACAAATCACTTTAAGAGAGCACTAAAAAGCAAACTTGGATACAGTTAAGCAAAACCAAGCTCCATGGAATAATGCAGTAAAATGATTTGCTATATCAAAAAGGCGACAAAGTATCATGAATTCAAACTCAAGAAAAAGAATCATAACAGCTATTAACACTCTAATGTGACCATGTAGGTAAACAGTAATGCTTTTCAGCATTTACACATAAATCACCACAAAATATTTTCATGGAATTTTAAATACAATGTAATCTGAAAGCCACACATCCATGCCCACTCCATTTAAAACACGGGAAAAAATTAATTCCACATGCAGGGATCCAAAACACTAGCAGAAGCTTCCACAAGCAGGTAGACAAATTGCCACACAAATCTAGATATTAATTGTGGCCACCTACCAAAATGAGCGTGAGGAAACACTTGAGAATGCATTGCTCCAGAAAGGCCTTATGGAAAGCCATAAAGAGACCAATGTCAATTAACTTGTGGATAACTATTGTTAGAATAAAAGTAAATTTGTTTCATTAAAAGTTATAAAATTACAGCATACTGTTGTTAAGGGGGTAGCATAATACATAACGAAAGCACATTTACAAAAGAAGCCTTTTAATTCATGACACTGTAATATTTATACTGTTTGAAATAAAGGGGAGATTAGAATAATACATAACAAATTAAGAAACCGGTGAAATCAATTTTTTAAACAAATAAGCATCAACTTTTTAAAAGTCATTAAAAAACGCTTTGTAGGCATCATAAGCTACATCTAAATATGCTATTCATAGAATCATCTGAAATTATCCAGCATCTACATTTGGGATTGAAACCAAGTCTTGGGAGACAGCACATGAACAATGCTAGATTGTTTTATTTACAACTCAGCACATTAACTAGAAATACACAAATAACTCAAATGAACTAATTAAGTATTACAAGGGAAAGACTACTAAATATACTAGTTCATAAGAAAAGTAAACAGTATTTTCAGGTTAAAATATAAAGGCTGAAAAAGTGAGAGAAAAGCAAAACGGATCTTGTATAGATCTTACTCACCTGGCATGTTTGAAGATAAACAGGTTACATATAAATTAATAGAAAGTAAACCTAGATTGTTAAATACTAGAACCTTTTTTTGTTTGTTTTAACAATCTGAAGTAAGATTGTCTCTAAAATATATTTCCACGCATTTAAAATTAGAATACTTTTAAAACTGGCATAAGAATGATTAAGAAATTGAATGGTTCTGAGTTGTGGTTCTGTCATTTTCTAGCTGCATAATGTTACTTTATTTTATAAGCTTCTGTTTCCTCATTTGCAAATGGGGTAGAGGAACAGAGATATTAGTATCTACACTTCAAGCTGCTGTGAAGAGCAAAAGCAACAAGGAATTAAAGTGTTGGGCAGTAAATACTGAATGAATGTAACTTTCTTGCAAACTTAAAAAAGTATCACTATGTTCCAAATACAAAAAAAGGTTAATTGAGGGAGATGGGCCTGTGAAAAATAAATGTGACCCTTATAGTTATCTCCTTTCTTAAAGCACTTTACAGGCTCGGAGCAGTCCTGCATTAATGACATTGGTTAAACTGTGTTTATTCCAGTATTTCCCACATGTATTTAGACACAGAACTCTTTCCATAGAATTTTACTAACAATATTACAGGAGACATGTTTCACAAAATACACTGGCAAAAACTGACTTTTAGACAACAGTGACTGTTAGCCAATATTAATCAATATACCTTAGTCTGCAACAAGATGCCCCACAAGCTCTGGTCCTGAACTGCTATAAATCTTTTTTAGACTTTATAAAACTTTCGGAAATACAATTCACATACGACACACAATTCATTCACTTAAAGTATAGAGTTCAATTTTTTAAAATATATTCTCAGGGTTGTACAACTATCACCACAATCTAATTTTAGAATATTTTCATCCCCCCTCAAAAGAAATATCATACCTATCAGCTGTCACTTCCCATACTGCCCACCACTACTAAAATCCCAGCCCCTGGCAATCATTCATCTACTTTTTCTTTCCATTTCCGGACATTTCATACAAATGGCACCACAAATGTGTGGCCTTTTGTGACCAGTTTCTTTCGCTCAGCAGAATGTTTTCAAGGTTCATCATGTTGTAGCATGTACCGATGCTTCATCACTTTTTATTATCAAATGATTTGTCATTGTATAACTATTCAACATTTGGTTTCATCAGATGATGGACATTTGGGTTGTTTCTACTGTTTAGTGATGATAAATATTGATGCTATGAACATCTGTGTACAAATTTTTGTGCAGATGTATGTTTTCATTCCTCTTTGGTATGCTCCTAATAGTGGCACTGCTAAGTTACACGCTAACTCTGATGACCATTTTGAGGAACTGCCAAAATGTTTTCCAAGGGGCTGTGCCATTTTATATTCCCACAAGCAATACATGAGGTTTCTAATTTCTCTACCTCCTCACATTGTTCATCGTTGTCTTTTCTTTCATTGACCATCTGTATCCCTTCTTGGAGAAATGTCTATTCAAATATTTTGTTCACTTTTTAATTGGGTTGTCTTTTTATTTACTTGTAAGAGTTCTTTATATATTCTGAATACAAGTCCCTTATCAGATGTATGATTTGCAAATATTTTCTCCATTATCAAGTTTTCTGTTGTGTAAATTTTTACAACTTTCCTGTCTTTCTTTTTTTAATTACCAAATTGGTAATTTTCACTTCTGGCACCTTTTTAAAATACCAACTGTAGAGTATTAAATATTAGAGATGTCCAACTATTAAGAGCAAACTGAGAATGAGAGACCACAGGGAGAGTAAATCACCAATGCTATAAACAAAATATGTCCTTCATAGCTCAAGGTAATTTTCTACTTAGGGTTTTTTCTTCGCTTTTCGTCAGCTACCTCCAACCCTTTTTTGTATTAATCCTCACTTTTGGAATATGCTAGGCAAGTGAGGTGAGCCTAATGAATATTTAGATACAAGGAATAGTACATAATGTTAATTTGTGAATGTTTCATCAATGTGAAACTAAAGTATAAATATGGAGGCAACTGTACTGGAACAAAAATAGTGTTGGTGCAGAAGTATTCTGGGTGTTAAAATCAGATCAGCCATTACTGAATTTCGAACCTTTAAGGCAAATTAATTAAATCTTAGCAAATCGATTTCCATCTAGGTAATAAAACAAAGATATGAGGGTTAGATGCCATCCAACAGGCTCTGCATTTCTGTAAGTTCCTTTCCTTGGGGAAAAAACATCTTTGAAACCATTCATTCATTAAACTGCTAGGAAATAATGACTATTCATTCAGTGACAAAGAAGAGATCTAAGAGTTATAAAAATTTACTACTATTCAAAAATTATTTTACCTCTATTAATTAGATTTAAGAGCTCTAGGGGAGAAAAAAGAATCCTAAATATCACAGAATCCTAAAATTAGGCCATAATAGGTAACATCCTAATGAGAGTTCATATGTAACATTATGGTTTTTTAAAAAGCTGAAGCCTCAAAGTTTTATAAATCCAGAAAAAATGATTATTCAAATGTTATTTTAAGAATGATCACGGTGCAGTGGCTCACACCTGTAATCCCAGCACTGTGCAAGGGCCGAGGCAGGAAGATCACTTGAGGCCAGGAGTTCAAGACCAGTCTAGCAAACATGGCAAAACTCCACCTCTACTAAAAATACAAAAATCAGCTGGCACACACCTGTAATCCCAGCTACTCAGGAGGCAGAGGCATGAGAATCGCTAAAACCCGTGAGGTAGAGGTTGCTGTGAGCTAAGATTGCACCACTGCACTCCAGCCTGGGTGACAGAGTGATAATCTGTTAAAAAATATACAGTATATAGATACAACTTTTCAAATTTCACATAAAACTATTATGCAATACCCCCCTCCTCAATTTTTTTTTTTTGAGACAGAGTCTCACTCTGTCACCCAGGCTGGCATGCGGTGGCACAATTACATCTCACTGCAGCTTTAACTTTCTAGGCTCAGGTAATCCTCCCACCTCAGCCTCCTGAGTAGCTATGACTACAGGTGCCTGCTACCATGTATTTTTTGTACAAACAGGGTTTTGCCATGTTGCCCAGGGTGGTCTTGAACTTCTGGGCTTCAAGCAACCCACCTGCCTTGGCTTCCCAAAGTGCTAGGATCAAAGGTGCCTCAAAATATAATTTCACAGTGTTAATATATTAGTTTGTCTGTTTTTGAGACAGAGTCTCATTCTGTCTCCCAGGCTGGAGTGCAGTGGCACAATCTTAGCTCACTGCAATTTCAAGCGATTCTCCTGCCTCAGTCTCCTGAGTAGCTGGGACTAGAGACGTATGCCACCGCACCTGGCTAATTTTTGTATTTTTAGTAGAGACTGGGTCTCACCAGGTTGGCCGGCTGTTCTCAAACTCCGGGCCTCAGATGATCCACCTGCTTCAGCCTCCCAGACTGCTAGATTACAGGCATGAGGCACTGTGCTTGGCTAGTGTTAATATACTTAAAGGCAACAAAAAATTCTTCAATAATATTAATTTTGATGGTATAAAACACTAAAAATTCTTAAGCGTAGTGCATTTGTCAAAGTATTGTTTGTATTTCAGCTTCAATAGAAACATGCAGTTAATGTTTAAGTGATTTGGTCAATTCAATAATAATCTAATAAAGGTGATCAATGTGATAAATTCAAAATGACTTATAATGGGAAAAATGTATTACCTTGAAATAAACATTTGCAGACACAGTAGTTTTACCTTTCTAATAATTTTTTGTTATTTAGTACTAAAATTATCTTATATCATCTGAACATGTTATTTTATATCCTATGAAGAACTTCAACTTTTATAATACTTTCATACTCTAGGTAAAATAAGCAAAAAAAAAAAAGCCCTTAACTCTAATGATAGAACCAACTCAGAGGTATAGTCATGAAAGAAAAATAATAGGTCTGATTTACTGAGCATATGCTGTAATGCAAGGACCATACAGGATAAATCTGCATCATCTAATTTCACAACAAACCTGCCAGCAAGAGAATATTGTTCACATCCTACAGAAAGAGACAACAGGAAGGCTCAGAAACGTTAGGTCAACATGATTAGGCTCAGTCAAGGCATAATTTCAGCTTCCATTCATCAGTTCTTAAATGAGGTTATAGTATCTATAAATAATAGCATCTTGCGAATAGATTTATCACAATAAATGTTTGAACATCCTCCTATCATTCTTACCCCATTCATTAAAAGAACAAAATTCAAAAGGCTTTCTTATGGTCAACCAACAAGTAACTATAAATCAGAACTCAAACACAAGTTTGGCTAGCTGTTCTCAAAATACATCCAATTAACTTTTCTGGGCCTGTTCCCTCAGCTGTCACACAATTAAAATATTTGTTCTATGAGAGCTGAGTGGATTAAATGAGGCAATACACAAAAATCCACTGTATCATGAGACACTTTACAAACTCAGTCCCCTAAATCAAAACAGTATACTAAGAAACAGAAACACTGCACATCTCACACACCTGAAGAAATTCTATGAATAAAAATTTAAAACAATCATTCATCAGGTACACTTGAATTAAAACAAACCATTTTTAAAAAGATAAATTTTGTGTGAAATTCAAATATTTACCAAACATCTATTATGCTAGTTGCCAACAAAGGATAAGTGAAGACATTTATGTGAAAAGAAAATAGTTACGGTTCAAACTCCTAATATTGCGATTCTTAATCTTGTTAATGACAAAGAGATTTACTAAAAACTAGTAATTCTTAATGGTTTAATTTGATTACAATGTTACAAGTACCTAATCTCTCAAGATTTAATATCAACAGTTGCCATAACTGGAGTTTAGGCTTTAGTTCTAAATTATTGTGGCAAATACACAAAAACAAAGCATACAAACTCTGCATTTAATGAATACCCAGCCACACCACATGCACCTGCTGATATTCCAAGATGATGGCAAATATCTCTGGTGTTTAAGGTAATACGACAAAATCAGACGTATAACATAAGAAAGATGTGACTGGCTTGCAGTATGAATTAAAGAGAAAAAACGGAGAATATAAAGAGAAATTAAAGGGAAAAATTATCAAGAGAAAAATATCCAGTATTAATACCCACAACTAAATCAAGTTCCCACAATTTAAAAAATGTTAACACGTGAAAGAGAGATTCACTAGAAAAAGACATAATTATTAAGAATTCATGAAATAAAGTAATTTGATGCATCTCATAGGAAAATAAAAACTTTTCGTAAGATGCTTCCATTAAGACCGCATGAGTTAAAACCAGTAATTCTGAAACCAGACCACTAAATAAGTCTCAATTGCTCTGTTCAAGTCCCATCTCTGTCATAAATTCTCTGTGGAGTCTCATCTCCATGTCTGGCCTTCCCTACCTGAAAAATGAAAGCTTTAACTGGAAAGGGTAGACACTAGATAATTTCTAAGGTCCCTCTCAACTGTTAAATTCCAGGATTTTATAAACTTTCAGCTAGAATTTGTCTTTATGGAGAAATTCTTCTATCCATTTGCCATTCACTTCACTAAGAAAGAGGCCCCATTTTCTGATGTTCTTCACATGATGTCTTTGTTGATAAGTACCTTCCCCAAAGCTTACTGTTCCACTGACTGTCTCTTTTTCTTACCTGTTGCTCCTCTGGCATTGGTCTGAAACGGATTTGTAGAAGATGCCACAGAAGGACCAGCAGCAGCAACAAATGGATTTGTGGAAGGCGTAGCTTTAAAAAATTATAAAATACACTATAAAATCCTAATACATTTTGTATTGAAGGTTTAAATTATTTGTTCATTATATTTATCAAGATCGAAAACTCAAGGATTCTGATAACAAATCACTGCTTTGATTCCTAAGAAAATGCTACACAATAGATAGTTGGGTTCTTCATAAAAACCAGTGTATATACCGAAAGCACATACCTCCAAATGGAGCAGGCACACTTGATGAAGCAGGCTGTGTCTGTGCAGAAGCACCCACTGGTACTGTTCCAAAAACATTGCTGAGAACAAATATTGAAAGAGTTCATTTTTTTTTTTTTTTTTTTAAAGAAAACAAAAGAGAGAAAGTAAGGATAATCAATCTACAGGGTAGCCATAAAATAATGAACATATCATGTATCACAGCATCAATATCAACACAAAGAAAATTAAGACATATTTAAGTGTAATGATAAACTGCTACTGCTTCATTAAGAATAGTCATTTAAAAAATCAAAAACACAAGTAAAACTGTATGTGTAGTGGGGTGGAATAGGACTATTAGAATGACTAGTACAGTTTGGTGCCACTATCTCAATTAATATTCATGTTAAGACTCCAGCAAGTCTTACTTGCCATTGTTTTTACACCATCAATACAAATGTCAATTACTAAAAAGGTAAACAATCTCTCAGAATTATTATTAAGAAAGTTTTAACTTCATAGACCCCATTAAAGGGTCTCAGGTACCTAAAACATTCTATAGACCACACTTTGTGAGTCCCTAATGTACTGTAATGCAGTATCAATAAATCATGTATTATAGACAAAGCATGTTACCACACTTTATGTTTCCAGAAGTGTTATAATCCTAACATTTTTCTCTAGAAAAGATGTTAAAGGAAAATAAGCTACTAGAATAACAAAAGCAGTAAATACAATCCATAGGAATGGAAAACAGACGAATAAAACATTGCTATAGGTAAATCTCTTGTATTTCTGAGGCTATTTCCACAACTCCTAAATAAAGGTAAGACTAGAAGAGTTTTTTTAAAAGTGTCATGTCCTTAAAATGTGTTAGACTTCCTGCTGCCAAGAATTCTAACAGATATATCTGAACAGAGTAGCAGATGTGCTTACTCATAAATACGAGGATGACACTGAAGAGATATAGAACTGATTTTGGGCTTTGGTACAAACGCTTCTAAAAATCTGGATTTACTGTAATACAGTACTTTCACTGTTTAATTTTCATGACTAAAAACTGTATTTTTAAAGTATTTTTTTGACTACTAAATGGATTCTCTGAGTATAATCTACAAATAACTGTCCATTTTGAGAAGTGTACATGCTGTCAAATATGTTTTAGTGTTCAAGGACAAAACGTAACAAAAATGTCTGATTCGATGGAAAGAAAAAATTATTGTAATTATTCAAGGATTATATTTTAATTAGTTAAATTCAAATTCAAATTTACAAATATATTCAAGATTTTTAAAATTATACCTTGAAACAGTCATTTTTTAAATTGATTATTCAAAGCTGGAAAAAAATACACAAAGCAGGAGGGCTAGCTAAGACGAGGTACCTGCTAGCATTACTTGTGGAAGTATACGCATTACTGGAGGTGGCTGCAGAACTGAAAACGCTGTCTAGTTCTGCCAGAGCTGCATACTTGTCTGAAGATGCACTTGACTGACTGGGAACTGAAACCACAGAACCAACAGGAGCTTTACCTGTGGTCCCAAAGCCACTTCCCTGATCACCACCTGGGAATGAACAAAATCAAGTTACACCAAAACTTTAAAAGTTATGCTTTCAACTTATCAACCACATTTGCCATGAAACATGTGTAAACTTAAAATTGATTCAGAGCTAAGCAGGACTCCAAAGCCTTAATCTAATAAATAACCTGACCATACTGGACAGGATTAGTTGCTACACATAACACTGTGGTAAAGACAGAATATGTTTCTTAACAAAAATTAAGACTGCACCAAAAAAAAAAAAAAAAAAAAAAGTCTAGATTATGACCAAGAAAGAACTCAAGTGCTACTACATTAACTTCTCCAAGATGGGTGGATCTTGTTCAAGTGAACATATAAATTCATATAACGCTAGACTTAATGTGAACAACCTATCAATAACATCACTTCCCCAGCATTCTCCATGAAAAAAATTAGAGTCACTAATAATGGGAAACACTTTCTGAGCACTTACTATGTGCTGGGCACTGTTTTAAATGACTTACATGCAGTAATTATAGAACACAACTCCCTGAGTCCAATGCTTATAATTACCCTCATTTTGGAGAAGAGAAAAACAGGCCCAGATATCAGAAAGGTGAATTCCATTTAGCAACACACCCCTGCTATTCACCACTGCCATATGCATTTTTAGAGGCTACTAGGTAAGATAAAACTGGATATAAGAATATACTATAAAATTCATTAATTTTTTTAAAAAGAAAAAAACCCACCAAGATGTTAACAGAAAATCATTCAAAGTAAATATACTATAGAAACCACCAAATAACCCCCCATTCAGCTCTGCCAATGGAGTTCCTTGGCTCTTTATAGCCAAAGAAAAGTAAAGCTGCCTTTTACGACAAAATAAAATTTTTCTCAACTATTAAAACTGAAAGTTTACAAATCAGCTTCTGTCTTCAGTTTTATGGTTGATCTTTCAGGTCCAAAATGTGCCAAGTGAAGTGTTTTGTTTTGTTTTGTTTTGTTTTTGAGACAGACTCTCACCTTGTCACCCAAGCTGGAATGCAGTGGTGTGATCTCGGCTCACTGCAACCTCCCCGTCCTGGGTTCAAACGATTCTCCTGCCTCAGCCTCCTGAGTAGCTGGGATTATAGGCGCCTGCCACCATGCCCAGCTAATTTTTGTATTTTTAGTAGAGACGGGGATTTCACCGTGTTGGGCAAGTTGGCCAGGCTGGCCAGGCGCAGAGGTTCACACCTCTAATCCCAGCACTTTGGGAGGCTGAAGTGGATGGATCATGAGGCCAAGTGAACATTTTACTTAAAATGACAGTGTAGCCAAAACTTCTATACAACAACTGAGAAAAGTATAACATGTCCAGATTTTAATAAATACAACCAAATTAAGAGCACTGTTTAACACAAATTTGTATTTGTTTTCTTTAAAGCTTGATACCTTGCCCGGCACTGAAGATATTGTCTAAATTAGCAAGTGCTGCATATTTGTCTGCTGTCTGTAAACCAGCTTTGTTCGTAGAAACTTTACTAACAGCTGATGCTGTTTGATGACTCTGGGAAGTATTGAAGGTTCCAAAATCAGCACTGGAGGATTTGGGGAAGTTATCAAAATGAGCAAAATTAGCATTTACTGATGTAGCACTTCCACCTGTAACAGAATAAACAGAGCACTTGAAATTTCTAAGCTTTTCCTAATATTCTCTAGTAGACTGTATGATCATTTCTTCCTAAATTAAATGTCCTATAAGCAATCCCACAACCTTAAAATCAATGACTGGCAAAGGCTTTTGACTACAAGTGACATTTTATAATTTGTAAAAGTAGATTTCTCAAAGGCCTTGGCAACATGTAAAATAACATGTTTCTGTTTATTACCTACCATGCAATGAAAAACGTAATTCATGGGGAGGTAACTCTATGCTACCTGGTTTGAGATTCAGTTACTTTCTAGTCCAAATATGCTATAGCCTTTTACTAGCTCTCCCTAAACAGACTGCAAACAAGATGCAAAGTATCTTACTTGAAGAATTTCAAATTTTTGTGACTCCATGGTGACATAGTTTAAAAAAATACCAGGGATAGCGATTAACAACATGTAAAAATGTGTTACAGTGATGTAGAATTTTTTAAAAGATGGTCATTGACATTTACACTTTCTTCACTTGAAGAGTTACATTTAATTCCACATAATAATTTAATGTGTCTACAATATCATGATGTTCACTGTAAAATCATGCCCTACCATATAGGTCAAGGCATTAAAATTATAGTACATAATACATTATAGCAATTTTTGACTTTATAAACCACAGTTCATCTAATGGCCACTATTATGTATATCCCGTTAAATCTTTAAAGTCTGTTCTCTATTATAGAGACCTCCTTAAAGTACTATCAAAAGACTAAAACCAGTAGATTTCATTCTATACTTTTGATCCTACACCTTTGGGATATTAGTTCTTTATTTCTAATCTTTGGTTTCAGCAATCAAAATAGTACATATGCACAATTATACCTTAAAGTAATAGAAAAGACAACTACAGATAAATTTAAAACAGAATGCATGAACCTCTATTAAAAAATACGAACATTTTCTATCAAACAGGTTTTTATACATTCTAAAACAAATATATAATGATAAAATTTCTTTCAGGAGTTAAGTTTCAATTAAAGCTAAGTAATATATGTTGGTATGTAAAAGACTGTGACCTGTTACAAGGAACTGGCAAACAAAGTACATACTGAACTTTCAAAATTCGTATAAAGAATATTATTTCAAATTATTAATGATTAAACCAAGTAACTCTTTGTCTACTACTGTGTTCTCTAACTCTGAGTTTAATAAATAGAGTTGGAAGAGATCTTTATGAAGGATTATTACTAAAGATGAACAATCTACAATTGGAAAAACCCTTGAAGTATAGCAAAAATATACAAATTAGTATAAGATGCCTACTTGACAACAGAACTTACTGTGGGTAGCCTGAAGAGGAAAAGCTGAAGTAAATTCACCAAAACTGCAGCTAGATGAAAGCATTCTAAATGCTGGACAGCCAGAAATTATGTAAATGATGAAAGTTAAAGAAA